TGGGTCCGTTGTGGAGCCGGCTGGACCCGGCTGTGTCTGGCACAGGGCAACCCCTGGTCTCTTCTCACAGAGGCCACCCCTGCAGCCCCTCCTGCTACCAGAACCTTGCCATGTACACCCAATACAATCTGTCAAGAGTTCTAAAGCTATTTCATGATGAAATTTCAATCTAGGGCTACTTACACTCAATTTTCATGTTAACTTTTTCAAGAATAAAAAGAGTCAGACTTTGTTATCTGAACTATTTAAGTGAAAGAGAAGCAGCCTATCACATGTTACATAACAGTAGTTGTAAGTGCAACATTCCCATCTTTGAGAAGGTTTAGGATATCTTTCAAGCATTTCTCTTTTTAGGATAGCATGCCTATGTTCCATTTAGCTTTTCAATCTTCCTTTTGTAGTAGGATACCAATGTAAGCTCTTATGACACTGTCTGTGGTATAAATTTGGGTATTAGAGTCAGTCCCAGCACATCAAGCACTGATGGTCTCAGGATTAAGAGCCAGATGCAGGCTTTTTCTATAGTAGTCTTTTTGTTGTCTTTCTGTTACTGAAAGATGACGCATCCATAGTAAGGAGCACTAAATAACAATAATTTTTGTAATTCAACAGTCTCCTCCACTTTTGAGCTGGTGTACAATGACGGTGCACAAATATTCCTACTGCCAACCATTTAAAGAAGGATTTCCATACCATACTTATTCAGGATGCCTCTTCCTCCTTTGCTTCTCAAACAATTTTTTCCTCATTTTTGTATTTTTGTCTGATCAAGACAAATACTCACTAACAATGCCTATTGTACACTGAGGAAAATTTGTATCTGCAGCACCTGTAATATTCTACAACAGGAGGCAATGACTACATCACTGCACAATGGCATTTAATTAAAAAAGCTCAAAAGTAAAAGCATGCATTTTTTTCACTAAAAAAGATTGAAAAGGAAAGCAGGTTTGAAATCAGTCAGTTACAGTAGCTAATTGACTATGCACTAGATCACTTGGCCACTGCAGGCAGACAGTAAACAGAAGGGAGATGATTGCTGTGACTTTTTTGTTTGTTTTTAAATCTGTACCTGGGAGTATGAGACAGCACAGGACCAAAACATGACCCAAAAGACCACACCTTTAGAAAGTCACCTCACATTTTACATAAATTAAGTGTTTTTAAGGCTGATTTGCCAGCTTTCCAAAACTGAAAAGATAGTTTAGTGTCAAATATTTGGCTGTTAAAGAAAAAAAGGAATAAGTCTACATGGTTCACAAAATGCTCCTTTCTCTGAAATCAGACATTGTCTTATTAATGAATGCTGAATCAACTCTTATTTATCATGAGACAATTGTATTTATAACATAAAACAACAGCCCATTGTCGATTTCACCAAAATGATGGTTTAAGGACAAGTCAACAACCATGTGAAATGTTTTCCTTCTAGTTGAAATAGCTCAGAGTTGCTTTATGTCAATAAAAGATTTGTTGCCATAATATGATACAAAATACAAGGCTATGCATAAAAGCTATTTCAATTCCTTCAGTAAACAAGTTATCTAAAAAAATCTAAGTGTAGAATATGAATCAGAACAAACTGGTAGTAATTAACCATTCATAAATGGTCCCTAAGAGAACAGAATCTTTACTCACCAGTGTAATCCAGCACAGCTGCATCTACTGAAGGCATAACACTATTAGGCCTTTTTTGTTCTGCCTCAACAAAACACAGAAACAAGAGCAGCAAAATGGCTATGCCACCTTTTTTATCATTTCAATTACAGGGTGCTATAGCATTCCCCAGCATACAATTCAGAAATCAGATAGATAGTTCTAGTGATAACACTTGATCATTTGCCTGCAATTTGCAATACTACCAGCCGATCTATATCACTTTTCATCGCAGTTCCACACTCTTTATTTGTGGATTTCTGAAGAGGGTTCTGGAAACAGATCTAATTCATTAAAAAGGCTCAGGATTTCCATATAAATCAGAGTGGCTGAAAGGTAGTAAGGAACCGAAATCAAATTATATATAAAGTATGATGTAATAAAGCTGAGTTACATATCCATTGAAGTGTGTTTCCAATTGCAAAATCTTGGATTAAGATGAAAATTACGAGTCTAATATTATTGTGCCTCAATACTAGTCTGAAGTTCAGAACACATTGATCTGTACTTGATCAAAAAAGCAAACAAAAAGCTAGTTGTTTGAGAACAATCTTAAATTCCTTTATATTTAAATAACAACCCAGGAAGCACAAGACAAGAAGTCATTGATGATTTCAATGAAAGATAAACTTGAATTCATTACAAAAGAATGTTTATAATGCAACTCTGCAACAGAAAACCTGTATATTGAACAGCTGAGTGCAGAAAGAAGTATGAATTGAGACACGGGGATAGGAGGGTAATGAGAGCAATAGATGCCAATATAGAAATCTGCCAATATCTAACAGTTCATTACTGCATTAGCTCTTTGATTTCCTAGAGTAAGTGAGGAGTTGCTTATTATTTTGATTTACAATTAACAGTTGCTATTTCTTTTCAGAAAAAAAGAAAGAACAGCAAGTGTATGGAATTTTGTTTACTGTTAATCAACAGATCTGAACCAAAGTCTTCACAATACTTGATAAGACATTTAATTATATAATACTCTCAAACAATCACAAAAATAAACAGAACAATTAAGCTGCATAAGGCCTTAAAATTACAAGCACAGCGTGCACTGTTGGAATATTACTTTGTTTACAAATTAGGCTACTTATAATTATCTTTCATAGTTTTATTCAAGCAAAATGCATTCAAGACAAAGGCATCTTACAAAGTTTAATTTACTATGAGTCAACAGAAAAATGTCAATGTTATCTTCTTGTCCCCTCCTCATACTGTCCTGGAGTGACTGGTGAAATTTCCATGCAATGCTCAGAAAACAAGCTCTTACACTAAATAGCCAAAAGTAAGCCTGAACAGACATCTTCAAACTTGCAAATTGTTTATTGCGAAGTTGGATAAACTTCTAGGTTCTTTCTATTGAAATACTGCATGTCTACAATGCTTAAAACTATGTTGCTCACAAAGTTTTTCTAAGTTCTAAAAGGCTTACTGATTTCAAAGAAGTACTTAGTGGCCTTAGTAGCAATCATGTAAATTATATTTATGTTATACAAATGATAACTTGTGACATTATTTTGGCAAGACCAGGATCACTGAGAAGATGATTGGGTAAATTTGACCCTTATCTTTCAGGTTAAAAAACAAAACAAAACAAAACAAAACAAAACAAAACAAAACAAAACAAAACAAAACAAAACAAAACAAAACAAAACAAAACAAAACAAAACAAAACAAAACAAAACAAAACAAAACAAAACAAAACAAAACAAAACAAAACAACTAATGCAAAACTAAGCACAAAAGGCATGAAAAATATGGAAAAAGAAATCTATTTTGAGCCCCTCCCTCCATCACAGGGCATAGGTCATTTCCAGTGACTGTCTATTCTCATTATATATATGAGTATTTGCCCAAATTTAATGGCTATTGCATTTTTACAGGACAACTGTTCAAAAGTGTGTTTTTTACTTTACACCTGTGCAACAGAGTAAGTCACAGTACATTTTGAGATATTTAAAAAATATTTATAATTTTTTTTTTATATGCTAAAGCATTTGGCAACACTTTTACAGCATTTCATTTTATGTAATTAATATTTCATACAGTATTCCTTGTGATTTTTTTGTACATCTAAAAAGAAAAAAAAGCCCTCAAATTAATATGAACTGCCAAGCTTTACTGCATGATCATGTCATTCCAGTTTATAATACTGGCATTAAAACCTTCATTAATTATGTTGACAAATCATTACCTGTACATTTAATGAAGGGAACCAACATTATTTCAAAACACAACCTGCAGATTTTATGTTATGTATTTATCAAGGTGTGCAATTCTGCAGTGAAATGAAAAAGCATGTAAATACACACAGAAAATTACAAGTTCACCAGTTCCTGTGACACAAACTGTTTTAATCTTTCAAGGTACTGTCCATAGAGTTCCACATCATTATGGCCTGCTCCTTCTACCCACAGTGGTTCTACAGGTCTCTGGCAACGCTCAAATAATGCTAGGCCATGTGAAAAGTCAATTACTTCATCTTCAGTCCCATGGATGATTAACACAGGAGATGTTATTTTAGAGATTTTGTCAATGCTGTAAGAAAAAGATTATATCCATGAACACAGTCAGCTTTATTAAACCTTCCTGAAGGACCAGAGAGTCTTAATTTAATTTTTTGTAATGGTTAAAAGTACAATGCGTAATTAAAAGTAAAATGCGTAATTAAATTTTAAAATTGCTTAAATGATTAGAAATTTAGATATTATCAACACCCTGGAAGCCATTAGAGTAGCATATGCAAAACTACACAGAAAGGAAAAACACTAGTGGAAACTACTAGGATTGCATAACAGAAGAATCAGTCTTAAAATGGTATTATTCATTACCATGTTCACTTTAAAAATCAAAGAAATTGGACTGATAAAAATACTGCTTCAGAGTTTTTCCTCAATAGAAAAAGAGCCTGTCAGAACTGGAGGAATTTTGGTTCTTAACTTTTGATCCTCTATGGGAAACTCCTTGAAGATAGATATTTAAAATGCAAGCAATTCTTCTAGCAAAGTGTACCAGTTTGTAATGGCCAACTAATGGCATAGTTCTGAAATACATGACAAGACTCTATTTACTTCAATTAAGGTCTATTTATTTTTTCCAGTCTTAGCTATTTATAGAAATACATGCAAAAGACTATTTATAGTCACCCAGAGTAACAATTCATTGCAAGAGTAAGTTAGTATTTAGGGGTTATGTATAGGAAAACTAATCACTTTTACACAGATACTCACTGAAATGATTCATGATATGAAAAACCTAAAAGATTTACAAAGATTTGTAAACTCCCTCAAATGTTTCTTGTTTTTTTCATTCACTCTGATTATTCTCCAATTATTGTTTTTAAACTGTGTAAAGAAAATTCAGAGTATTTGCCATATTACTTGTTTCCCTATTCTACAACTTCTGTAATAGAAAAAAATGCATGCACAAAAAATCCCACAACTCACTTCAGGAATGCATCAAAGCAGTAGGTCTTCTTCGTATCAGGAAAAGCTACTCGCATTCCTGAGGTCAGTGGAGAATGGAGAATTACAGCAGCACTTTCATACCTAGCAGCAAGATCCACAGACGGTACTGTTCCTATACTTTGGCCATATATAATAACATTTTCAGGGCGGATTCCATACCTAGAAAATTAAAAACATTAACAGAAATGTCATTTAAAATGAAACAGATCAATTTCTACACAACTAGACAAAAAAGCCCCTCTGTAGATAAAAATTTCCTGAAGAGGATAAACTATGAAACAGAAGCTGGTAGAACAAGCAAACATGTTTATAACATTTCTGACTTAAAATAAAAGGAAAATTATTTACTTTGTATTTGCAGTACTTTTTTTTGCCTTATGCCCTGAATGATAGCGGTCGAGACGTATCAACACAGTTATATTCATAGAATCCATCTATACCA